CTTCTCCCTTTACCTTTTATTTTAGCTATTTTCTCCTAGTCATTCTGATGTGTTTCAGCCAGAAAAATATTAGATACTTCTGCCTTCTGATAATTAAAACAAGTTGGTAGCCTCTTATATTTAATAGCAATCAAAACCACTACGATTTGACTTTTTTCCGTTGGTAGCATCTTATATTTGACTTTTTTTTCTTTGAACAGTAGAAGTAAAAATTCAACTACGTTGCTTTGTTATGAATATTTTTGGTTTGGATATGCAAATCAGATAATACACCATCTTGAATAAATTTAAAGAAGTACAAAAATTCACTGTTAGGTTTTATATTAGGCCCATTGTGTAGTTAGCACCTATCATTTCATAATGAATTACCATTGAAGCAATGCTTGTTATGGGCAATATTATCATAATAGTTAACACTAAAATATATGAGATTTTAACAAATATAAATAATTTATAACAAATATAAATAATTTATAGCAATAAATTTGAGATGGAATGACGAAACACACCAGCATTGGTACTATGTACTGCTCCATTAGCTCAAACAGTGTGCCAAATGGTGCAGAATCATAACTATGATCCAAAGTAGGTGGGTAATCATTATCAAAGATGAACCTAGATCCATTAACACATCAAATCTACCTCAACTAGCTTGAGACACTAATTCTAACAAGCTAAACGATAAATCTAGTTCATTAAAGATATTTTGGTAAATTTGTATTTGGTCTTCTATAGTGGCATTCTTATGCATTAGATACAACTTTACTTTATTTTTTGATTTATTAAAACCTAAGCAATGATCAAGAAATTTGTTTCCATGAGTCTTGCAAAATGCAATCACTCTTTGAAATAGGTGAAAATTTTCATTACAAATATCTATGAGTGATTCACAATGAGAATAGCCATGTCAATAAAATTAAGATATTAATGGTGCGGAGGATTCATCATCATTATAATCTCAACAAGGCCATATGTTGAATGGTGTAGTCATTTCTATATTATTGAATAATTAATCATCTTAGTGTGTTTCTTTGTTGTTTACATGTCACCAAATTTTACACTGAAAATCTACAAGTGATTCATTCACATCATTGATTGTAACCATTTAAACATCTCATTGAAGTCGCAACAGTGATAAATGATTAATTATGATAAAAACAATAATAATAAATTCAATTAAATAGCTAATATTACTTTAAACTATCAAACTTGTTCATGCTATTAAACCGAAAGCTTCTCTTCTTTTAGGACTACTCACTACAGTAGACTTGACCCCAAAGATTTTATATTCCCACTCCATTTTTCAAAGTCATTGATAATTCTAAAAAACAAATGACAACAAACTGCAAAAGGTTATATGAACTAACTCAACAAAAAGAGTTTACAGAAGATGTGAACCCAAAGAAATACGAATCAAGACCTACATTCAGCCTCGAACTTATTGCCAAAAGGAGCCTAAACCCTAAACCTTGAACCCTGAATGAAAACCCCATGCCTGAGTGAATGATGCAATAAGTCTACAAACACAGAACCAACCACATACAACAATCGTGGATGGTGGGACTCATCATAAAACAAACAAATCCACTCAGATCGTGCCACCTATGTTTCATTTGGTTGGTTTTGTGGCCATAGATTTATTGGTGAATTATCATGAGGAAGCCTTGGCCTAATAATGTGTACTAATTGAGCATTGTTTTTTAACTCTACCGGGGTTGCTTAACAACTCTGCCGGTCCCAAGTCCGTTAAGGAGGAGGGTTGTGTGTTAGGTAGCCGGTAGCCAACACGTAAAAAAATCGCTCGGATCTTTTATGACATGAAACCTAATACTTTGAATCGATTAAATACTAAGTCGTTCCCCTTAAGTGACGCGTTGTGCCTGCCTTTGGGTGTTTTGAAAAGTGAGCAAGAGGCGCCGCATCAACGCCTGGGTGCGGTGAAAAATGGGAAAGGTTTTCGCGTTTTTCTAGACAAGCGCGGATAAAGAAGCTAGTCCAAGATTATAAGTTTAGGGTAGCCACATGGAATATAGGAACTTTAACTGGTAAAACTATGGAATTGGTAGATGTCATGATTAGGAAAAGAGTTAGTATTGCTTGCGTACAAGAAACTAAGTGGACGGGTGAGAAAGCTCGGGAGATAGAGGATACCAGTTTTAAACTATACTATAGTGGAAAGGATAGACACAGGAATGGAGTAGGAATAATAGTTTCCAAGAGTCTTGTAGAAAATATAGTTGCGGTCATTAGGAAAAGTGTAGTTATTTGAGAGATTATAGTAAACGTTATTAGTGCATAGGCCCCCTAAGTAGGATTAGATGATCAGACTAAGAGAGTTTTTTGGGACCAAATGGATGAGGCATTACAAGAGATACCCGTAGGAGAGAACCTAGTTATAGGTGGTGATTTCAATAGCCATGTAGGAGTAGATAAATTAGGATATGAGAGGGTGCATGGTAAGTATGATTTTGGTGATAGAAATAAGGCTGGAGAGAGTATTTTAGATTTTGCGTTGGCTTCTGACCTAGCAGTGGCCAATACTATGTATAAGAAGAGAGAGAAGCATTTGATAACCTTCAAGAGTGGGTCAATTACGAGCTAAATAGATTACTTTCTACTAAGAAAAGGAGGCTGTCTAAAATGCAGAGACTGTAAGGTGATTCCTGGAGAGAGCATGACGTCTCAACATAGGATTTTGGTACTAGATTTATGCTTTAAAGGGCAATACCAAACTTGGAAAGATTGTAGGCGTCGTAAAACTAGATGGTGGGACCTAAAAGGGGATAAACTAGACACATTTAAGAATAGAATGGATAAAGAAGGTACTTGGGACTTGGAAGATGATGCTAACACTATGTGAAACTCGATGGCAAATTGTATGAGGAGAATTTCAAGGGAAGTTCTTGGAGAGTCGAAAGGAATGGGACCCAACTTTAGGGAAACTTGGTGATAGAGGAAGGAGGTTTAAGCGGTAATAAAGACGAAAAAAAAGAGCTTTAAAAAGTGGCAAAATGATAGAACTAAGAAAGACCTTAACCGCTACAGATTGGCCAATAAGAAGGTCAAAAAAGTAGTGAGGGAGACTAAGTTGAAAGCCTATGATGACCTATACACTAGACTAGATAGTAAGGAGGAAGAGAAAAGGATATACAAAAGGTTATGATAGAGTGCCTCAGAATATAATATGATAGAGTGCCTCAGAATATGATAGAATGCCTCAGAATATAATTTGGTGGGTGTTAGAGAAGAAAGGGGTGACAAAAGATTACATTGATGTGATTAGGGATATGTATGAAGGTGTGGTGACTACTCTTAGATCGCTTGTTGGAAAGAGGAGTGAATTTTCAATTTCTGTAGGATTACACCAAGGATCAACCTTAAGTCTTTATCTTTTTGCTTTAGTTATAAATGAGTTGATGCGCGATATTCAGGATGATATGCCATGATATAGGCCCTGTTTGGTAGAGTTTATTTCCAGCTTATTTCAGCTTTTAGCTTAATTTAAGCTATTTTGATGTGTTTGGTTCAGCTTAACAATACAGCTTATAGCTTTTTGTAAGTCAAAAATCAACTTATTCTTTGAGTGGGGGAGGAGAAGCTTAATTTATAAGTCAAAAATCAACTTATGTTCACATTTATAAGCTATAAGTTGTTAAGTTATAAGCTATAATCACTTTCTCACAGCTCTACCAAACGGGGCCATATACTTTTTGCAGATGATATCGTGTTAGTAGATGAGACTAGAGGAGTTAACACTAAGTTGGAGATTTTGAGAAAAGCACTTGAATCTAAAAGATTTAGGATAAGCAAAACTAAGACAGAGTATATAGAGTGTAATTTTAGTAACAGTCACAATGGGAGTAGGGGAGAGGTCAAGATTGAGAATCAAGAACTACCTAAGAGTGAACATTTTTGTTATTTAGAATTGATTATCACAACGACTGGGAAGATTGGAGTGGGTATGTGGTGCACAGAATTAAGGCAGGATGACTTAAGTGGAGGAGTGCGTTTGTAGTACTATGCAATAAACTAGCACACATTAAACTAAAAAGAAGGTTGTATAGAACGGTTATTAGACCAGCAATGTTGTATGGGACGGAATGTTGGGCAACTAAGAAACAACATGTAGAGAAGATGAGTGTTGCTGAGATGAGCATGCTAAGCTAGATGTGTGGCAAGACTAGAAAAGACAGAGTTAGGAATAAGTATATTCGAGAATGAGTAAGAGTTATACTGATAAAAGATAAATTGAAAGAGAATAGATTGAAATGGTTTAGTCATATACATCGGAGACCAACAGAGGCAGTAGTGAAGAGATGCGATACAGTAACTGCAGATGGTAGTGTTAGGGAAAGGAGTAGACCTAGATTGACGTGAACTAGTGTAGTAAATAGAGATATAAATCTCCTTAATTTGACTAACGAAATAGCCTTGGATAGAGTCGAGTGGAGAAGACAGATTCATGCAGCCAAACCCATTTGATGGGAGTTAAGGTTTGGTTTGGTTTGGTTTGAGGAAGAATATGATGAAGTAGTAATAATTTTGCGAGTTTCCTCATTGAGATATCATCACAGTATAAATACCAACAATTATCAATTATGCTCTCATCAACTATCTGCGAATCAATGGAAACTAGAGTTTTGGAAGTGATATCAAGTCTAGAAGCCTCTGTACTCTTTGACATGCTCATTGCTCTCACTTGAAATCTAAGGGGCTAACTTTTCAACTAGTAATGATCAAGTCCTCATTACAAAACACTCAAATTCATTGGCAGGGAAAATATACAAAATCAAACATCAAATTTATTTAGGAAAAAGAGTTGAGCAATTCATATGCAGAAATTAGCAAACGAATATGGAATTTATCATCAATCAGATAAAAAGGAAAAGACTCCAGAGATCAATAACATGAAAGTTGAGAATAAAAATCATAGAATATAGTAGATGCAAAGATTTATATATATATATATATATACATAGATAGATAGATGTAAGACTCACCGTCTGAATAGAGTAAGAGCCGTAAAGCGGTTCTTGAAGGAGGAGAAGAGTAACCTCGAGAGTGCCATGGATTTTTGAATGAAATCTCAGAAATTGGTGACAAGAGGAATCACAGCAACCATTTTCCAAGCTAAGCCTTTCTTTCTTTCTAAAACCACAGATAGAGGCTTTACCTCACTGGGGTTTGGTTTTATTTTATTGACATTTTTGGAGAGGTGGATGGATGGAGGTTTCATGAGACGGCGTCGTTGTGGTTTCGTATTGTACAATACAAGAGTTTGACGGCAACCCTCCTTGATTTAGACGCCGTCTTCCGGTTCAATATATATTTTTTTCCGGGTAACAATATAAAATATTAACTAATCCGACAAAAAAAATTAAACCAAATATGGCTGACATCTATTTATCTATCTATAAATTATATAAAAGAAATGAGATCTCTAATAAGAAATCTCTTAAGAGTTTAAAACTCTCATTTTAAATGTGTGTTTAGTTTGAGTTTTTTGAATTAAGTTTTTTAAAAGTTAAATTTTTTAATTTTCATATTTTTTTGTTTTCAGTGAATATTTTTAAAATTTTAAACATTTTTTTTACTTTTTTAGATGTACCTTACTTAAATATATCTAAAAAGTCAAAAGTTTGTGAAAAAATATTTTTAAAAATTAATAAATACATAAAAATACAAAAAATATACTAAATTTTCGTATTTTTTTTATATTTTTGGTACTTAGTGAATTTTTAAAAGGTTTTTTTCAATTTTTTTTACTTTTTAGATATATTTATGTTAGATATGTCTAAAAATTAAAAAAAATGCTCAAAATATTAAAAAAATTCAGTAAAAAAAAAAATACGAAAAATAAGAAAATAGAATTTTCTGAAAAGTGTTTTTGAAAAGTGGTAACTAAGCATTATAAAATAGATTAACAAAACCTATTGACTAATTTATTTATTTAATTATTTTAGAAATAATAATTATCCCTTAATTTATGAATTTCAAATGGGAAAATAACAAAAATATTTCATAATCTCTGATCAATTTTCAAAAAATATATATATTAAAATTTGCATTCCTTTTCTCTCCTCCAAAAAATGAGATAATATTTTTCATGAAAGTTGTGAGTATCTATCTATATCTTATACATTATATTATAATATAACAAAAAAAATTAAAAATTGAATATATAAACAGATAAAATTAATAACTTTGATTTTTATTTATTTAGTTAAAATATTTCTTTTGCCTCCCAATATTCAATTTTAAATTTAAAAAATCTATAAAGTCTATCTAAACAAATCCGATTTAAAAATGTCGTCCACTATCATACTTCAAATTAATAAGACTCACATATCTATCACATATTTAGCTCGCATCATAACTGACATAAATAAAAAAACCTATTGACTAATTTATTTATTTATTTATTTTAGAAATAATAAGTATCCCTTAATTTATGAATTTCAAATGAAAAAATAATAAAAATATTTCATAATCTCTCCATCCGAATCTCTCTCACCGATTTCCAAAAAAATATATATATATTAAAACTTGTCTTCCTTCTCTCTTTCCTAAAAAATGAGATAATATTTTTCATTAAAGTTGTAGATATCTATCTATATCTTATATATTATATTATAACATAACAAAAAAAAAAACTAAAAATTAGATATACAAACAGATAAAATTAATAAATATAATTTTTATTTATTTAGTTAAAATCTTTCTTTTACATCTCAATATCCAATTTTAAATTTTAAAAATCTTTAAAATTTATCTAAACAAATCTAATTTGAAAGTATCTCACACCATCATACTTTAAATCAATAAAACTCATATGTCTATCACATATTTAACTCACATCATAACTTACCTAAATAATAATAATAATTAAAAACAAATAGAAACCACAAATAATTAAATTTAAAAAAAAATAGAAATCTACAACTCCATCTTAAAAAAATTGGAAAACAAATAGAAACTACGCAAAAATAAAAAAGATAAGAATTTAGGTATGACAATATCTAAATTTGAATTATGATTTAGTACTATAATTATTTATTTTCTGATGTATATCTATCAAAATTTTAAATCACTTAATAAGACAAATTAATCAATTTTCAAGTCTTATTTAAAGAATAATATGATTAGTCATCCCAACTCTTAGACTTCTCGAGCACTAGCAGAGGAGCTAACGGATTGGGTTAGGTGAAGTCTAAGTTATTGGAGGTAACATTTTCCCACTCCATAAATTTATTTGTTTTTTAATTTTATTTTTTTCCCTGTGTAATTCTAATTCTCTTTCTCTACTGATGACTTGGTTTTGGTTTCGGTTTTAGTGAGGCTTATGCGTTTGTTTACATGTTTGTATGGTGGAGAAGAATTATTGGTGATTATGGTCGCAATTGAAGTATCTATGTCCGTTTTGTACCAAGGATTTTGATCGGATTTTGTTGTCTCTTATGAAGACCATAAAATTGAAGTAAAAAAATGGGTATCAATTTTTTTTATTTTTAATTGTCATTTTATTTTATAAAAAATGTGAAAATTTATTGAGAATTCAAGATTTTACTATAACATTAGATTTTTGTATAACTAGGTAAATTTAAAACTTTGAAATATCATTGTGTTCTTTATTTGTATCTTCTTTCTACCCCCATTAGACCATTACTGCTATTTGTTAGTTTGTTAATTATAATTTAATTAATTAAAAATGAAAGCTTAATATAACTTTTCAAATATATTATAGTTAATTTGTTACAATTATAGTTGTATATAATAGTCTAATATAAAATAAAAATCTCTACATATAATTTCTATTTTTTTATGTGATTAAAATAATTTATCTTAAATAGTATTTAGAAGGGTTAACTGGTTTCTTTTATCTCTAAAAAACCAAATCAAAAAATTTTTTTTTTGCTTTTTAATTTTTTAAATTGAAAAACCAATTGTTTATGTCCATAAAACAAAACTGATAAACACATATACAAAAGCGACACATTTTTTTTTTCTTTTTTTAATATGTAGGATATTTACAAATGGAAAATGTTTGACACCCAAATTTATTTTTTTTTTCATAATCCAACTTATAGATATAGTCATAAGTGCCAATTTTTATACAAATATGAGAAAAGAATTAATTAAATTATACATTTCAACCAACCACATACTCAAACTTTGATTATTTCAAGATATTATTTCACCAGAATTCCAATTAAGAGAATTTTCAATCCTTAATATATTTTTTTTAATCAAATTATAATTTGATAAAAATTTAAAAAGATGAAACGTTAAAAATTATTATTTTTTTCCATCAAAATTGGTAAAAAGAAAAAAAAATTGGGATAAGAATGAAATTTTTTTAAAAAATTGATAAAAATTTAATGAAAAAGTTAAAATAATTCCTATCAAATCAAAAAATTTATTCAAATTTAAAATCAAATTAGATAAAAAAAATTTTTTAAAATGATGAAAATTTGAAAATATTTTGATATCGTCTTATTCTTAAAGACTAGAAATACATGTGTGTATTATATTCATATTGTATTTTTAGTTACGAAATTGAAATCAAAAGAAATGTAGCTTAAATTATTGGATTAATAATAGAAATATCATATTAATTATTCTTAAATATCACTTCACTTCACATTTAATAATAAAATTGTATATTTGTTTTAATTACAACTTTTAAATTTGTATATTTTCATATTAAGAAGAGGTATGTCATAACTCATTTAATCTCATTTAATCAGGTTTATCTTTTTTTTTTAATACAAATTATTACAATTGCACTAAATAAATTTATATATATATATATATATATTTTAATTTTTTAAACTAATAATTTAAAAAGTTATAAACATAAAAGTTAATTTATAAATTTCATGTATACCGCAAAATAAAATATTAATTACTTCAAGATAATTATAATAATTTCATTTTAATTTACAAAATCTCGTGCATAGCGCGGGTTACCATTAGTATTATATAAGGAAAAAGGGGATTTCTAATGAGAAGGCTTGTGAGAGCTCCAAAGTCTCATTTCACAATTGCTAATTTTTGTGATTTTAGAAATATTTATAAAATAATTCTATTGGCTAACAAAGTAATTATAGATTAAAAAAATAAATAAATAAAAAACCACCTAAAATTTTGAATTAAAGAAAGAAGAATAAGCTATTCATACAAAATAATTATAAAAAAAATACTATAAAAATGACATGATAACAATAAAAAAATGTCCCAAAAGCATCTTTTAGCATTTTTCCTTAAAGTGAAAAAATTTACATTAAACTATATTATTTTGTACAAAATTTTATATAATTTTTTTTTATTTGTATATTATTAGCCAATAACAAAAACACATTCAATCTTTTCAAAAAAAAAAACAAACACACAAACAAAGCAACAAAGCATATTGGTGTTTAACATGCAAATATCCTTCACATTTCACAAGCATGATTCTTTGGTAAATCTATTTTGATTCTCTATGAATCAAAAATTATTAGCCAATACCAAAAACACATTAATCTTTTCAAAAAAACAAACCAACAAACAAAGCATATTGGTGTTTAACATGCAAATATCCATCACATTTCACAAGCATGATTCTTTGGTAAATCTATTTTGATTCTCTATGAATCAATAATATTGTGGGAGGGTTAACAGGGTATATTTTGTTTGGCAAAAAAATTGGATTTTACACAACACCACTACTAAGAAAACTACTAGAATGCTTTAGGTACCTGATTTTTGGATAATTTTTTAGTGTGCAAGGTATATGGTATGCCATTTACTTATATATTTGTGTAAATTAAGTTATACATTTTTGTGAGAACATACAACACATTTTATAAATTAATTTACGCGAATTTGTGTTAGGTTATGTGATTTTGTGAGGTGACTTAAGTATGTTTGTGAAAACTTAAGCCAAGTTATTATTTCTCAAATTTTTATGGATTAATTTACACCCATTTGTGTTTAAGTTATGCGGTTTTATAAGATAATTTATGTATTTTTATGAGAACTTGTGCAAATTTGCATATCCTTCCATAAGGTGTGCAACCCTTAAAACACTTCTAGGCCTCGTTTGTTTGATTCCATATGATGGAGGGGATTAGGAGTATAGTGGGATTGAGGAAATTGTAGGATTTCTTAATAAAAATCTAAACCTAAGATCTCAAGTCAAATCA